TTAAGCCTCCAGCCTCACACTTGTTGGGATTAAGCCTCCAGCCTCACACTTGTTGGGATTAAGCCTCCAGCCTCACACTTGTTGGGATTAAGCCTGTTATTGCTACCACTGTGCCAATCCTTCTCATCATCTTTCTCGCTGACCCTCTACTTTATCAAGCACGATGTCCCTCTTCAGGGACTGGTCCTTCCTGAGTGCATGTCCCAAGTGCATGAGATGAAGGCTGACCCTCCACATTTCTAGAGAGCATTCTGACTGCATTTCTTCCAAGACAGTTCATTGTTCTGACAGTCCATGGTCTGTTTAGTATTCTTTGTCAGCACTGAAAATCAAAGACATCAATTATTTGTCGCTCTTCTGTATTCATTGTCCAGCTTTTGCTTACATATGAAGCAGTGAAAAGTACCATGGCTTGGGTCAGGTGCACCTGAGTCCTCAGGCTGACCTCTGCTTTATCACACTTTTTGAAGAGGTCTTTTACAGCAGATTTTCCCAATGTAATGCTACTTCCATGGATGTTGATTGTGGATCCAAGTACAATGAGAACCTTGAGAATGTCAATCTTTTCTCCATTTATTATGACGTTGCTTATTTGTGCAGTTGTGAAGGTCTTTATTTTCTTTGTCTTGAGATGTAACCCATACTGAAGGCCGTAGTCTTTGATCTTCAGTAAGTACTTCAAGGCCTCTTCACTTTCAGCAAGCAAGGATGTGTCATCTGCGTATTGCAGGTTGTTAGTGAGCCTTCCCCCAGTCCTGATACCATATTCTCGTTCATATAATCCAGCTTCTCAGGTTATCTGAGCAGCATACAGATTGAATAAATATGGTGGAAAGGATACAACCCTGGCGCACACGGTCCCTGATTTTAAACCATGCAGTATCCCCGTTTCTGTTCTAATGACTGCCTTTTGGCAGTGTACAGGTTCTGAAGGAACACAATTAAGTTTTCTGGCTTTTCTGTTCTTCACGATGTTATCCATAGTGTGTGATGACCCACACAGTCAAATGCCTTTGCACCATCAGTATAGCACAGGTAAACATCTTTCTGATCTTCTCTGTTTTCAGCCAAGATCCATCTGATGTTGCCAATGATGTCCCTCGTTCCATGTCCTATTCTAAATCCAGCTTGAATTTCTGGCAGTCCCCTGTTAAGATACTGCTGCAACGGGTTTTGAATTATCTTCAGCAAAATTTTGCTTGAAAGTGATGTTGATATTACTTGACAATTTCCATATTCTAGTGGGTTCGAACCACCAACCTTTTCTCAGCCACCAAGCTCCTTGGAGAAATATTAATCCCCTAAAATGAATACAGGAAGCTGTGGTAGACTTCCAGAGCCCCTCAAGCACACCCACCATCTGTCTGTGTGTGGCGTGCTGTGATGACGCTGAGCAGGCTTCGGGGGAAATTCTGTACTAAGACAGACAAGGAGGAAAGACTGAGTGAGTGGCTTCCCAAAACCAGCCAGTGAGACCCCGTGGGCAAGAGGTCAGGAAATGACGGAAGCAGCTCCCCAGGACAGAATGACTAGCGCTGATGCTCACTCTCTCAAGCGCTGACGTGGTTGGTCTTCCCTTGGGTCCCCTGAGTGTGAAGCTGTCAGTGAATACTTCCACTTGTGCCCGGGCCCCGGGTACCACGCTTCCACAGAGAGATGCTGAGTTGGACTTTTCCTTTGCTCTCTGTGTCCTGTCCCAGGAGCAGGCTTCTTGGGTGTGCCAGTGTGACGACAGCATGGTCCAGAGACTAGAAACGGACTTCAAGATGACCCTGCAGCAACAGAGTACCCTGGAGCAGTGGGCTGCCTGGCTGGACAACGTCATGATACAAGCCCTCAAACCCTACGAGGGCAGACCCAGCTTCCCCAAAGCCGCCAGACAATTTCTGCTCAAGTGGTCTTTCTACAGGTATCACCTTCATCTCCCCTAAGCCTTGTTCTTCACGTTCCCCAAGTGTGTGTGTGTGTGGGGGGGGTACATGCGTCTCAGACTGAAGCAGTGAGCATGGAGACTGGAATTTACCGAACCCCCCAATTGTGACTTTTGTCAACGCAACTCCTCCTGGAATGGGGTGAGAGAAAAAAACGCTAAGTGTTTCCACAGGCCCAGGAGGAATGGAGCTGCTCAGGGATTTTGTTTTCCAAACCCTCTCCTGGTGATTCTAATATGTAATGCACACCCAATCACAGAACCAGTGATCCATGGCAGACAGTGGAGAGCATGGCTTCTTAGTAGTATGCATCGCTTTGTGACTAAAACAATTAGATACACGTGTATGTTTTTGTAGACACACATGAGCCTCAGAAAAGGGAGACTTCTTTCAGATTACCTGGTCTGATGGTATCAGGTGTTGGCATGAGCTGGTGATCCTAGCTTTGCCACAAGGGTGAAAAACAGAGCCTGTGTAAGTTGGCATTTATACCATACAATACAACATCCAAAAGTACCCAGGAAAAATGGAACTCAGATGTAATAGACCCCTTCCACAGATGTTTGGAAGCCCCCCACCCCATCTACACAGGATGGAATTGATGGCAGGGTTCCCTTTTATAAGTTAAATATTTTTTAACTTTTAAAAATAAGTTGAATTTTTAACCCCAATACTGTTCATCTTTTACAAAGAGCCTTGGTAGTACTTACAGGCTAGGCACCACTGGGCTGCTAGCTTCAAGGTCAACAGTTCAAACCCCACCAGCTGCTCAGCAGAAGAAAGATGAGGCTGTTTGCTCCTGAGAAGATTTAGAGCTTGGAAAACCCTCTGCATTCAAGTACTTTAAGTCCCTAAAGGTCAGCGATTCAAACCCACCCCGCGGCTCTGCAAAAGACAGACCTGGTGACCTATAAAGATCCCAGGGTAGGAAAGGCCCTGGGCCAGTTCTGCTCCGTCATGCGGAGGAGCCCTGAGTTAGAGCTGTTCTTCTGGTGGGAGTTGGTCTTTTTGCTTCTTTAGGTAAAGGTGGCCTCATTGATACGATGACTTACAAGTTACATGTCCCTTGTGGCACAGGTGGCACGTCATTTAGGGCCTGTGAAACCGTAGCACTGACTGTGGCTACACCACGGTTGCCCTCTGTTGGGATGTCAGCGGTACCTCCCAGGTTACGTGTGAGGAAACTGGTCCAGGAATATCGGAGCTGGCAGTCCCTGTGAACCTGAGATTGTCCAATGGTTCGGGTCACCTTTATAAAGATGATACCAGAGACCTTGTAGTTGTGAATGATGCTATGGCATTGAGTCTTATTGTAAATGAACACTCTTCCTTCTCACCTGCTCCGACGTCGTCTTCACTTCGTAATCGGCAGTCTAGATGTAGATACAGGCAGTCCCAGGTTCCAGACGTCTGCAAACTCCAACTTGCCCTTTAATGCAGGGCAACTGGATCTGTGGTGGTCAATGAAGCCAAACAGGTACAGACTGGAGTTCTTATAATTTGAGTGATTTGTCATGGTAAAAGAAAGGGGGGAAAATGATTGATTGATGCCCTAGATGGGGAAACTGAGCCCTTTCAGGAGCCTGATGTGTGGGATTGTTGTTGTTAAGTGCCGTCCAGTCACTGCTAGGACTGCAGCGAGCCACACCCATGCAGAGCTACACTGTCAGCTGCCACGCGGGAGCAGGGCACCGCCAGAGGTTAGGCCATGCGCTAATGTGACCGTGAGTCCGTCCTCACTTGGAAACGACCTGCATCACAATCATCTTCACGTATGCACACGCAGCTTTAAATCACTGAAGACTTGGCAGCTTTGTTACACTAAAGTCAGGCTAAATGAGAACCTTCTGCATCAGTTAGTTCTGACTGCACTACAAATTCTTGAAGATAGGAACGGGTCTCGTTTATAACCCAGGGACTGTCAGTATACATTTAACTAAGGATAAAATCACCTCCGTCTCATGGAAATAGCTGGCTAGTGTCTACCCAGGGTCCCATGCAAACCTCGCTGTGAATGTTTTCTTGTGTGTTCTGTAGTGAGCTAGCTCCAGAATTCTCTCCTACGCCGACGATCTTTAGTCCAGACGGTTCCAGGTCTTACTAAGCTGCCGCCTGACTCTTCAGTGGCACCAGGGTGAGGTGTGGCCCCAGGTGTTCATGAGAAAGTGTGTTGGTAACAAGTGCACGTTTCTTGCGAGACAGGGGGAAAAATTGGAAAATAGGGTTTCAGCCTCCTCAACAGATGTAGTCATAGCAAAGGGGCCGTCGGATCAGCACTGGACTGCTAATTGCAAGTTCAGTGGTTCAAACCCACCAGCCACTCCTTGGAAAGCCTTTATGGGGTCACTGAGTCGGACCCGACTCGATGGCCCTCTCATTTGCTTGAAAATTGATTTTCATTTGCTCATTTATTTCCCCACAGAAATTCTCGTAGCTCCATGAGCATTAGCTGGAGCAGAAGTCACCCTAGCTGGTGATACAACCGGAGTCTCACTGTAGCCCCCATCTGAGTCCGACAGGAAGGGAGCCTGGTTGGCCTTGGTTTCTCCTCTCCTACTGCTTTCTTCATGTTGCTAGTGTCCAACTTGCCCCAGCTCCTGACTGGAATTGTTTTTTTCTCTTATATTTATTTATTAATTTGATAGTGATTTAGAAATACACTCCTGGAGTCCTCACCCCCACCAAGGCGCGTTGCAGGTTTCTTGAAAGGAGAGAAAATTGCTTATTTGTTGTTCTTGAATCTCTGCAGCTCTGTAAACCCAGTAGTTCATCACTTACCTGCCCTCTGCCTTCCCGGAGTTGGGACACACTAGCTTGTTATTATTAAGACACTAGTACGGTATCTTCATTTCAGAGCGACTTGATGGTGTGCAGTTCAGGGGCACAGACAGAAAGGCAGAAGCAGATAGGTACATAACACAGAAACTCCAAAACCAAATCCACTGCCTTCGAGGAGATTCCAACTCCTAACGCAGCCCTACAGGCAAAGTAGAACTGCCCAGTAGGTTTCCAAGGCTACAAATGTTTACGGAAGCAGACCACTCTCACCTGTCTATGGCAGAAGACGGCTAGTGGGATCGAACTGTTGACCTTTTAGTGAGTAGATGAGCGCTTTAACCACCAACCACTGGGGTCCTTTCAGAAATGCAAGAGTCTTTCAAATCTGAATTGATCCCCTGCCTGGCAAAAGACCCTGCTAAGCCGTGGGCACTGCTTCACAAACTTCCATCGAAGCAGGATTGAAGAGGTTTTGTTTGTTTGTTTTTACTCAAAAATATTTTTGACATTGCCATCATAATTTGGCAGGCACATACAGAGACCACTCATGTTCTGAAGTCAGATCCTCCACCTCATAATTCGTCACCTTCTGTGTGTCTGTTTGTAGGCACAGAACGATTCTGTCAGTGAGTTGGCACAGGATAGTAATACCAGTAGTTAGCATGTGAGGGAGGAGCTTCAAGAAGTTCGGGGAGAAACGGAATTGAAAGATAATGGAGATTTTCCACAAAGTTTCTAATGCACCCCCCTACCCCCACCCCATATGCATACTTTCCACATGGGAGAGGGCTCTCTGCTTGGCTCACCTGGCTTTCAATGGCAATCATTGGCTCCCTGGGAGGTAAGGGAGAAAACAAAACAGAAAGCATTACCCACTTTCTTGGGCAGGAATGGAGAAGTGATGTGGACCATTTCTCAAATTGTGTATTTTGTGGGTAACAGAACAGATCATTCCTCAGATCCATCCAAAGCATCACCCATACACCCCACATTTAAAGAGTAAAATGAAAACTTTGATAATTTGATTTGAAAGAACTATGAGGTATCTTGTCTGTCCACAACTGGACACTTTGTGGTGCTTCCAAGCTGGTGTCCTCGGCCAGTCTCCCTCCGAAGAGAAAGTCAAGTCACCTGGTGACAGGTGTGGTCTTCTCCCCTTTCTTTTGAGGAAGGCAGTGGTGCCCCCTCAAATGCTAAGAGGCTGGCTGGTTCGCATGCTTGAGGGCGAATGTTTTCGTGTCCACACCGTGAATCAGAAAGATAAATACATAAAGATAGTTTTCATCCATTATAAAATAATGAATGTTTACAGCTCTGACTTGAAAAGGAGTCAAATTCACTGTAACTTAGCAACATGGAACTTAATAGAGTCAGTTCTGCCACATAGCTTACAGAACTCTGAACTGGACAATAGGTTTCCAATTAAACTGTTAATTGTGTCAGTGAATGCATAGCATGTAGGGCAAAGGCCCAGCACACAGAGAATAAAGTAGACATCTTTTCTAAGCATGTGGTAGTAATTTTCTGGTAGGCTTATCAGTATTTAAAAAAAAAACAAAACTAGATATTATAGTTGAAGGTCAGGACTTTTCTGTGGAGTTTTTTCCCCCTCCCTATTTTCTAGAAAAATTTAGAATTACATGTACATTTTGTGCTGAAGAAAGGTGATTGTCTAACCTTTTCAAAGTTTCCAAAATACAAAGAATAAAATCTAAACACGGCGTTTCTATGAGTCCATTTTTAAACTGTATACAAAGTAAGTTGTTATTGTTAGGTGCCATCGAGTTGGTACCAACTCATAGCGACCTTATGTACAAGAGAACGAAACACTGCCCAGTCCTGGGCCAACTTCACCATTGTTGTCCCTCTTTGGCCCACCAATTCTGCTCACGTGATATATTTTGCTTCTGACCTAACATTATATTATACCATCAATTGTTGTTGTTGTTGAGAAGTGCTGTTGAGTCGATTCCGACCCATAGCAACCCTGTATAGGGTTTCCAAGGAGCAGCTGGTGAGCTTGAACCACCGACCTTGCAGTTCAAACGGCTTTGCAGTCTAGCACATTAACCCACAGTGCCACACCAGGACTCCATATATACGTCTACTTGATTGTCTTAAACTATTGGGTCACATCCCATATGAATCAACCATAATTATGACATTTTCTTCTGAATTTCTCACTAGTACAAATGTTCAGAATACCTTTGCTCACTTAAATAGTGCTAGGAAAAAGAGTTTGAGCATTTGAAATCTTGACAAATGCTGCCAGATTGCTCTCCTCAAAGATTTTGTGACGCTTTATTAATGTCTTTCTCCAAACCTCTCCAACGATGAGTTTCTTGTATGTACAATAAGTGAGCTACACTGCCTGACTTTTCCTTTTACATTTCCTTACATTTTGACTAGAACTGCTCATGTTTTTGTGTATTTGTTAGCTGTTTGTCGTCTCCGGGCTATATTTTAAACATTTGCTGTCTTCCACAAGAGCATTGCAGTTAAGTCTGCTACTGCGTGATTTAAATTTTCAATCTTATTTACTTCCCCTGATCCAAGTGGTTGTTGTTGTATCCTGTTGAGCTGGTTCTGACTCACAGTGACCCAGTATAGAGTCTCTGAGGAGCAGCTGGTGGGTTTGAACCTCTGACCTTGTGGTTCACAGTCCAGTGCTGATCCTTCAGCGCCACGCCAGGCGTCTGATCAGGTGATTAGTATAGTTTAAAAAGGTCATGCTACATTTCACTGTATCTTTGCATTGTTTGGGCTTTTGCCCTTTTTCACTAGATGGTTCTCTACCTCTTAAAACATTTCTTATCCAAACAGCATTGCTTCCTTTCAAATGGCTATTATATTCATATTAATTATTTTTACAAATGGGAGGTGCATCACTTGATTTTAAGAAAGACATCTCTATAACTATTAACAGGAGCAGAATCTTGTCATCGCTCTTTGGCAAGCAGATTAAGGTAATGAATTTGAGCAGTTCACTTACAGAATTGTAAATTCAGTACAGTCAAGAATCAGGTTTTCAATACAATATAGGGGGCTTCCAAAAATTGGTGGACAAAATGGAACGAAAATTTTCGTGTTTTGTTTTGTTTTGTTTTGACAAACCTTTTGGAGCCCCTTTCAGACTCCATTGTGTGCAGCTTGTTCATAATACCGTTGAGAGTTTGGTATTATTTGATAAGTTAAATGGTTGTGGTTCCCTAAGGCACGGATTCTTCATTGATTTTCATTAGGTTTCCTTCTAGCGGAAAATAACATTAATTTCAGTGGAAATCAGTAAGAAAATAGGACTCTCCTAACAAACTTGCCTTCCACCATGACTAGGAGGGCTTCCTGCATGTACCCAACTGCAGTCCGTGGTGCCAAGCTGGGAACATGGCTTAGTATATTTTGTATCTGTGGCCAGCACGCAGTTTCCCCAGAATGTACCCCAAAGGTCATTACCACTGAGAGGTGACCCAGTGTGAACCCCACCATCAACAGGACTTGCCCTGGGAGTGGATTTCTCTTTCGAAAGTGATGAGCAGCCAGCATTTCCGAATCTTGACTCACTCCGTGCGTTCAGTCGTGCCAGGCGACCTGGTTTTGAGAGTGCAAGTGTTTCCCCAGTGTGACCCCAGCCAGCTCATGTAAGGGTCAAGCCACAGCAAGGATCACCTGGCTAGCACCTTGTGCAAACCAGCTGCGCCAACTGCTTTCTAGAGTGAAATTGTTTCCCGGCCAGCATCAGCGCCACGTCATGCCAGCCTGATAGGCCCCTCCCGCCTGACAGGAAGAGAAGCAGGTTGACCTGCATCCGGGTTCCTGGCCTGGGCTGCTCACTTGTCTTTTCTCTCGGAACAGCTCCATGGTCATCCGGGACCTAACTTTACGCAGTGCTGCTAGCTTCGGTTCCTTCCACCTGATCCGCCTCCTATACGACGAGTACATGTTCTACTTAGTGGAGCATCGCGTTGCCCAGGCAACCGGCGAGACGCCCATAGCGGTCATGGGAGAGGTAAGAGGCTGCGAGAACTCTAATGCATTTCCAAGCAGGAGCCTGCATTACACTTCAGTCGGTATAGATGAAGGAACACCAAGAAGTTCGTGCAAGAACGGGATGCATTTTCCTTAAAGTTTTGGTAGCCCCTTCTTACTGCTTGTTGATTTAATGCGTGGTTACTAACCTACAAATCTTTGACTCTGGAGGGGCAGCAGGGTTACCCCAAGGGGTCCTTCCATCCCTCGGTTGCTATGTATTTTCCTGATCAGAGGAGTCTGAACTGGTAGATTGCAGCATTGGAGAATGCAAGTTCATGCAAGGGTCTGTTGCATGAGGGAGGTGTCGATGTGAAAGAAAAATTGAGAACCACTAGATGAAGCACAGCCTTTTGAGTGAGAAATATGAAAGGGGGAGCTTCTGAGACTCTGAGGGCCAACATAGACAGAGGCACAATTAGACACCTGTTTTATAGACTCTGGTCCCCAGTGCCCAAGAGCAAAAGGAACGCTTCTGTTTCACAAGGAAGACAGTAATGATGCTAGCAGTTCATCTTTTTTGGGTACATTTTATGTGCCCAACATAGTTCTAAATGCTTTATGTGTAATGAAGCCTCTAGCCCCTAAAACAGCGCTTTTGAGTTGGCTATTACTCAGGCCAGTTCTCCATGCAGGGAACTGAGACACAGAAAGAGATTTAATAAGTGGTGGAGACCTGTCCTTGGACACTCAGTCTGATTTTCAAACCCAAGTTTCTAGCCATGAGAAGAAGGGGGAAAAGAATCTTTTCAGAATTTCTTAGTGGTAATCAAAAGACGTTTGTTTTTAAGCCAAGAGTGACAATAGGGTTAGATGCTTTTTCTTAGTTTAGTGAATGTAGTACTAAAAGTATCCATAAAGATATGCTAAAATACTTCATGCTTCAGGGACCTCCGTAGAGCTTCTAGTATGAATAAAACGCATGTCACAGCTGCGTAGAGTGTCAGTTGCAAGATTCCTCTTTCCTTTGACTTGAACATCTCTTGGTTCATTTTGATCTCTCTACATTTGTGTGGTTTTCACCAAAGGTAACTGGGTCTCCAGGTGCCAAACCTATGTTTACGAGTAAGCAAGAATCACTGTTGCCTTTAAATTGTAGGAAGGACCACGTGTGAACAGAACAATCTAGACTTTTCTAGATGGCTTCCTTCATTGCCACATTCCTGAGTTCTTTTATAGACGCTTGCTTGCAAAGTGCCTTGTTGGTAGGTGCCATAGAGCCAGTTCTGATTCACAGCGGCCTTGTTTACAACAGAATGAAACACCGCCTGGTTCTGTATCGCCCTCCCTTCTGTCACTATGATGAGCCCATTGCTGCTGCCACCATGTCAGTCCAGCTCGTTGAAGGTCTTCTTCTTTTTCACTGACCCTCCTCTTTACCAAGCGTGATGTCCTTCTCCAGGGATTGGTCCCTCCTGACAACATGTCCAACGTATGTGAGAGCACATCTCTCATCCTGGCTTCTAAGACAGATCCTGTCTTAGAACCTTCTAAGGTCATTCCTGCTGCACTTCTAAGACAGATCTGTTCGTTCTTCTGGCAGTCCGTGGTATATTCGATATTCTTCACCAGCACCATCATTCAGAGACATCATGTCTTCTCCAGTCTTCCTTAGTCATCCTCCAACTGTCACATGCATTGGAAGGAGTTGAAGGCACTGAGGCTCGGGTCAGTTGCACCCTCGTCCTCACACTGACATCATGTGAAGAGGTCTTGTGTAACAGATTTACCCAGTGCGTGTAGATTGTTGTTGTTAAGTGAGGTCACGTTGGCTTCAACTCATAGCGACCATCTGTAGGGTTTCTGAAGCTTTAAATCTTTGTCGGCACAGACAGCCTCATCTTTCTCCCATGGAGGAGTTGATGGGCTCAAACCTCGGACCTTGTGGCTAGCAGACCAGTGCTTATCCTACAGTGCCAACTGTGCAAAATCTCTCACCTCAGAGCTCCAGACTTCTGAAATGGACATGCCCTTCTGGTATGTTGAATGCATTTGCCTTCCACCTTTATTCTCTGGAGCATGTTTGAGAACAGGAATTCTCACTCGCACAGCGGAGCTAATCCTGATGGGCTGTGCTGGCTCCTCAAGGCACAAAGACAGTGGACGGAGCCAGTCACACAGGGGACCATTGGACAACCTCCTTGCTTGCTTGTCCAGGCAGCCTTTGCTCCCCAGTATCCCAAGGGCCGCATAGTTTGTACTGCCCACTAGTCTTCCTAACAGGTCTTCTGTCTCGCACGCACATAAGCAACCTAAATGCATAGAACATACTGGCACTTGAGGTAGAGATGTGTTGTAAATATAACCTAGATGAGAAAATAATGTATAAAGTATGTTTGAGATGTCCAGCGATCTCAGCACATCTATCGATCTCTGTGCTTAATCTCCCCTTAGCCTGTTTCTACACAAGGCCAATGAAGGCTTCCTGTGTAGGCCTGGCCTCCCCACTCAACTGTACTGGCTGCAGGCTCCCCCTGATGGCCGGAGTTACAGCCTCGTATCTAAAAGGTCTTAATTACCTGGAAAGAGAAAAGGAAACTAAGATAGCAGAAGGCTAAGGATGGCCAAACTGCGTCTCTCATACTTCGGACATATTGTCAGGAGGGACCAGTCACTGGAGAAGGATATCATGTTTAGTAAGGTGGAGGGTCAGAGAAAAAGAGGAAGACCCCCAATGAGATGGATTGGCAAAGTGGCAGCATCAGTGGGCTCAAATGTGGCAACGAGAGTGAGGTTGGCCCAGGATCAGGCAGTGTTTCATTCTGCTGTGCGTAAGATTGCTATGAGTCAGCACCGACTCGATGGCACCTAACAATAACAACAGACAAACTCACACATGCCCGTGGTTTTATCCTAAGCCACCCGGAAACCAGACTGAGTGGAAAAAGTTTACTGGTTGAGACTTGTTGAGTGACGTCCCTTCCCAAACACCAAGTCCAGGGGTACCTGCCTGCACAGTTGAGCAGCTATAAAGCCCAAGTCCATGAAAACCACTATTGCTTGGTAAGAATAAGACGAGGCTCGAAAGCCAATGATTTCTAGTGGTACTCAGCACCTAAAATCATGCTATGCTCTCTAGATGTATTAACTTAATAACCCATAACCACCTTATGTATGAGTGGATATTATTACTATCCCTGGTTTAGGGGTGAGAGATGAGATCCAGAGACACCAAGCGAATTACCCAGGGTCACATTGATTCCAAGTTGTGATGTCAGCTGCCCAGCACCTGAGTCCCTGTGCTTGGTTCCCATGCCCAGGCTCGGTTACCTGCTGTAGGATCAGAAGCAAAAACACTTCAGAAAGCAGACACGTGGAGAGGAATCACAGATGTAGGCAGACATATATATATGTGTTTTGCTTACATGGATGCTTTATGTGGGGAGAAAGGTCAGATAGGTACGAGGAAGGCTCCTGACGCAAGTTACCATCCAGTTGATGCAGATGCAAAATAGCTGTCCTGTTAAGATGCAAGTGAATGCCTCTTCAAGTTCATTTGAACTCAATAAACAAATTTTCTAATGAACATTATTTGCATTCTTTGAACAGTCATGAGAGGCCCACACCCATTTTACATACAAGCTAAGTATATTGTTGTGAACTGCCGTTGAGTCGATTCCGACCCATAGTGACCCTGTATAGGGTTTTCTAGGAGCAGCTGGTAAGCTTGAACCACCGACCTTGCAGTTCAAACAGTTTTGCAGTCAGGCGCATTAACCCACAGCGCCAACTAAGTGTAAAAGCACACAAAATAATATACTTTTAACAAACAGCTTTGGTGGTGTTGTGGGTTAGGCATTGGGCTGCTAACCACAAGGTCAGTGGTTCAAACCTAGCAGCTGTTCCATGGGAGAACATGAGGCTGGCTGCTCCCACAAAGATGTGCAGTTTCCGAAACATTGTAGAGGCTCACTATGGGTTGAAATTGACTGGGTGGCTGTGGGTTTTCCTTTAACAGTATCAATGAAATTGTTGAAATGAAGACTACCATATAATGCCCCTCCCCCCAAGGTTGGTAAGGAGCTCCGGTAGCGTAGTGGTTACAAATCGGGCTGCTAACCTCAAGGTCGGCAGTTCAAAACTACTAGCAGTTCCGCGGGAGAAAGATGAGGCTTTCTGCTCCCGTAAAGATTTACAGCCTCAGAAACCCTGTGCAGGGTCGCTATGGGTCAGAACCGACTCCACGGTACTTAACAACAGCAACAAGGTTGGTAACAGCACCACAGCCCCCTAAAAGTTTTCTCTGTCAATCTGCTGTGACTTCAATGCAAGTTGTTCTTGGTGTTAAGTGCCTTCGAGTTGGTTCTGGCTCATAGCGACCCTGTACAGGGTTTCTGAGGAGTGGCTGGGGAATTTGAACCACCGACCTTACAGTTCAAACCGGACTTGTGGCCCAGTGCATTATCCCACAGCACCACACCAGGACTCCTCAATATAGGTTAGTAAGTGATTTTAATTAAGCATTTGCAATTCCAAAGTTTTATTATTCCTGTGTGTATGTGTGTGTGTGTGTGTGTGTGTGCCTAGATGGTAAAAAGAAAACAGAATTCATTTATTGCTAGAATTTTATTTCACGTTTTGAATTTTCACATAAATATTAACAAATGTGCCCACCGGTTTCCTGGTAGTAGTGAGCCTTTCAGTGTGGGAATAAATATAATAAACAAGTTGCATCTGCTTGTACAGCTGTTAGATTAAAAAATAAAATCATAAAGCTTACTGAGAAACTCTGATAAGAAAATTTGAGCAGAAAAAACTAAACAAACATCCTTTACTTGAATGCCACGGCTATTTGAAACCTCTGATTGGGAACTGATGGCCACTACCCTTGATTTATTATAAAATATATATAGTCCATTTACATAGTGCCTGCAACTACAGACATTTGATTCCTGCATAAAAAGGTGTTTTCTGTGAAAAACATCCTTAAAGTTCCATCTATTAGCACCAGTTGATGTTAGTCACTCCTGTGGTCAGCTT